TTTTTTAGTTTTTTTTAGTTTTTTTGAATAAAAAGAAACTAAAAAAAACTAAAAAAACTAAATGTCCAGGAGTCTAGCCCTGTAGTTTTACAAAGAAAACTAAAAAAACTAAATGGCTGGACGTTTAGTTTCTGTGCGAACTGACACGCGCAACGAAATAAATGCGGAACGTCTCTCTAACATTAGCCGCTCTTGAGAAATCAGGATGCCGCCTGCGGCAGTTGGGCATCGTCCCGGAGCCGTGCAGTTCAGTTGGTCCCTTTGCACCGTTTTGGAATACCAAAAAGCGCCTGACCGCAGAAGACCATTGAAATCGATCGGCTCACCTGAAAGAAGTTCCGCAACAAGTGAGAGTTGGTGTCACTTTACGCTGTACTTCTTGCTCCAACACGAACACCACCGGGTTCACGCGAGTCACGAACACCACCTCCCATTACCCCGTGACGAGCGATCGTGGCATCTTCGCCGGACCCACCAGCCCACCTCGACAGCGACAGGCACGGCAAGGACAGCGCCAAAGCAAGGGCCAGAAGATGGGGATGAAGAAGCTCAAGAGCAAGACCCTCAGGTCGGTCGCCCACTGTTCTTCCCTCAAAGGCTCCGAGTCTGGACCCCTTTCCAGCCGGAGTGTCCGCGGTTTGGACCCTTCGGGGGGTTTGGACCCGGGTCGAGCCTGTGGGCGCCCGAGTGGTTCCTGAGGCAGGTCACGGAACCGAAAGTGCTTGGGTATCTTCGGTGGTGGACTTCGGTTGAAACCCCGTGACCAACGCGCCAACTCCTTTCTTCCGTCGTTCTCCAGTCTCAAGCGCTTCTCCAAAACAGATGCATCTACGGCCGAGTGTGCTCCTTGCGGCCTATATTCGTTGGCTTTGGAGGCGTTTTTCTTTGCTCCAAGTCAGTTGATCCCCATATCAGGACACTGGTCTGATCGCATGGAGTCCTGCGCTTGCACTTGCACCCGGTCAATTCTGGAGGCTGGTTCCTGAAATGACCCTCCTTGACCCTCCAGCACTGATTCCCCGTCTCCTCCAATGCCGAAAACATGTCCGCCTCGTAGTCCGTCTTTTCTTTTCGAGGCACGCGCAGCTGTGGGGCCACAGCGGTACGTTTTGAGCGTAGAAGCCGGGGCCACTCCAGTGCCATAGGTCACTACCTCTCCAGTATGGCGCGTGGACCGGATCTCGAAAGGCGGAGGACCGGATCTCCTTGCTTTGGGCAGAGCATCATGCTCGCTGCTCTAGTCTACAGAGTTTACAGTGGCAAGTCATCGTTTCTTTTCCAGCGAGTCATCGAGAGATCATAGCGGCTATCGTCAAGAGATGATTCTTGGAAAGTAATGAGATGGCTAGGTATCTTAATGGAGAGACACCCAGCGACTGGGTAGACATGGTCTATGTTCTTTCTTGCAGGAGGTCGAACTGGGAGGTCTCCCTGTCTCCAAATGCTCACCGAGATCTACCATCGTTCGCCTCGCTTCGGATCTACGTTTCATGACGTTTTCTCAGCTGATCCATCAAAAAAGGTAAGACTGAATGACTAACATGGAAGTGGAAAATGGGCCATATGGAGGTTTTCACACCACTTCTATGAGTGTGAGCAGAAGATCATGGAAGAACACATGTTGGAAATCCCTGCGCGAATTCGACCTTTCACATGGACATCTTCATTTTAGAGGTTCCAGTTGAAGCAAAAAAGGGTGGTTTACATACTGGTTTTCGTTCTGTATGACAACCCGGGTTGGTCAATTGTTTAAGCTAAATTCGAAGGAGGATTGTTGGAAGCTGATTTGCCATTGCAGTGGATCTTCTCCAACGTTAGAGCTCAGCAAGCTATCAAAGAATCGACAAATGACTGACCAATTTGTCTCGGGCACATTGGGGCGGCTTCTCATCAGAAAGCCTCGAGCTGGCGCCGGTGTAACTGAACAATAGTCATCAGTCATCCGTCCAGTCTTTATAGCTTTGATGCTTGGCCATTCTTACACCATCTCTCCCATGGTGCGCCCACATTCGCAAACGTCTACGTTTGCAAAAGCGAGATGACAGCATATCTTGCTTCACTCATCCGTCATGTGTACAAAATGAGTTGGTGTGTCTACGAGCCTAGAACTTTCTGGCTTTGTTCACGGGGCCACGTTTAAAAACGGAGCTTGATCGACCAGACGGCACCTGAGCACAGAGCAAACAGCATTGAAGACCCCGTCAGCCTGGCGCCATGCCAGGAAAAATGAAACAGATCTCAAACCCGGTCTCAACCAGAAAGAAATGGATGCTTCCCCAGTAAAAGATTTCAAGCTGGCACCGCATTGGAACCATGTCTTTCTGGTTTCCAGGTGGGCCTTGATCCCCATCCAGATCCCCCGTCGCACAGGCGAGGCCCGGACGGATCCATTCGTTCGCCACGCTGTTTTCGGCTAGGCCCGGGAACGGCCCCGGAACGGACGAAGGACCGAACGGCAACGACGGCAACGACGGCAACAAGATGGTCTGGACGATGGTCTGCGACGGACGATGGGACCGGTGATTCCTGGAATAAGTGATTCCTGTGTCTCACATGATGGTCTGTGAGTCCATTCATTCCAGGCAGTCTTGGCACAGGAAGTTGGCACAGCGGGTCCAAAGTTGGTCCAAGCTTCGCCCAAAAGCTTCTCCCATTCGAAAAGCCCTCAAAACCGCCCAGCCGGAGAGTGTCTCTCTTCTCAGTTGGACTAGCAAGGATTCCCGGTCTTTCGGTCAAACAACACGTGGAGATCTAGCAAGCCATTTTGGCCCTTGTACATGTATCTCTCATCTGGGAGGATTCTCTGTATCCTCTCATCCTCTCCCAAAGCAAAAATCCGAATGCCAATCCGGTCCGCGCGGAAGTCCGGCCTCTAGAGATCCGCCATAAGCCCAGCCGCCCACACGAAGGGCGAGCCCTTCGCCTGAGCAGTCGGGTGAGATGGGGGAAGATCCTGATTGACTCTCCGCAACAAACGTATCAGCGGTTTCAGAGTAGGGTCACACCGTTACACCCAGACAGGCAATCGATCTAACGACGCATTGCCATTTGGACTATCTAGTTTTGATGACAAAACTCACCTCCTCTCATATACTGGGATTTGAGAGCGAAGCGCCGTCAACACAGTCGGGCGGTGAACAAGTCCTATCTCAAAATCGACATGCGGCATTGGGGTATTGTTTCTGCCAATTACGAAACCAATGTAATTATATGTCAAGAGTCAAGAGAGTCAAGAACATTACAATTGTTCATACATGTTCATACATGGTCTTTTTTTCTCGTTTGGATTGTGCCAAAAATGTATGTCCCTTTTCGAACGACGACCACGGTCGCCGAATGGAACCGCCGGAAACCCGTCATGTTCCCAAGGACGCGGGAGCGGCTTGCTTTCGGCGTTCCTCCGAACCTCCCCCTCCTCAGCTCCGGGTCGGATCCCCATTTTGGAAGGATCTCCTTGGGAAGTCCGGAATGTTCTGAGTGGGATCCCCGGAGTTTCGGGTAGCGAACCGGCGAATTTCTGGTCATCACTACCCTGGAGGATGTAGTGGGTATATACTCAAAAGTTGCACTCCCTAGTTTTGGGAGATCTTACCAACTTGCTACGTAATTACCAACAACAGCCACTTACTCGCTTCCTTAAAAGAAAAAAAAACTCCAATAGCGCCTATCGTGAGGAAAATCATGCAAGAGACACTGATCTCGCGCGGCACCTCGCTGCCTTCGCGCCTCTTTTCGCTCTCGCTCCGCACCTCGCAGTGGCAGCCGCTCCACCAAAGGAAAGCAGCCTCGCCGAGCTGCGGAGAGCGTCAGACGGGACCCCGGGACCCCGGCGGGTGCAGCACGCGCTGCAGCCGGTGCTGTTCGTCCGCCACGGCACGACGGGTTCGGCCGGTTCGGCAGAATCGAGAACGTGCGGTTGCTTCACTGAACGACGAAGGTAAGGCATGGTCAATGCATTTCAACGAGGGTTGCTTCTCAAATGGCAACCAAGTCGCTCAAATGTCAACCATATTGTAGAAAGCTTGGTAGGCGTTTTCCAAATTGTAGAAAGCTTTGTAGGTGAAACCAAGCTATTGGTTTCTAGGTGATATCGGATTCTTGAGCTTCACATTTTTGTAGAAATTCACATTTGTGTAGAAACATGTAGAAACATATTGACTATTAGTAGGATATTGGTGTGGGTATGAGGCGCTCTTTGCATGGAGTCATCACCTCTTCAATCTATTTGACTCACGCAGGGCGCGAGTAGCAGGACGCGAGCGAAGACGCATGTGAGGCAGTTGGATACAGGATGCAGTTACTCGCAGCCACGACCCAAAAGCAACGGGAATCGATGGCTGCCACTTAAGCATATTTGGATGCTGCCTGTTCCCCCTGTTCCATGCCGAAACTAACATTGTAAAGCCAATGCTATCACAGGAATCAACTAAGAGACTGGTTCCACACCTATGACAACCTATCCCCACAGATTCAGGACCCCGACGACCTCCAAAAGACTCAAAATCGCCTACCTCTCTGTGGCCACTTGCGTGCCATACTTGGATCACTGACCCATGGGTTCCACATCCTCACCTCGGCCAAAGTTTTGGGTCACAACCGCTAGGCCAGGCAGTCATTGGTCGCTCACTGAAACAACAATAGTTTTTTGGTAGTGGATTGAGAGTAGATGGCACGTCAGGGCCCCCAAGTTCGGTGGTTTACATGAACAATCCATGTGTCTAAGACCTCTTGGGGTGCCAGTCCCATTGAACCTCTGAAATCACCCCCAAAAAAAAAGAACTGCTGCCTCCCAAGCCCAGCTCTCTACGTTGTAGCCGTGCACATGCCTCGCATGGAAATCTGCATGTAGGGTGCGGAGGCAGGCAGAGGAGGGTGTAAATCTGCCAAATCGGATCTTCTTGGGGAGGTGAAATCTGTAAGGAATCTCAGAAACTGCATCAAACTGTTCAAATCTGAATGTGAGATTGGGTTAAAACAGAGGATTCGCCATCCAAAAAAAGGCGCGGCTGTTCGCAGTCTTGTAGCTTCGGAATCCTTCCAATTGGCAAAGCACCCTTGAGAATTCGAGTCGGTGTGACTCGGAGTGGTGTCTTCACGAGTGTGGCTGTGGGGCCGTGGGCCTCTTGACCTGTTGACCTACTGTATTTGTATACAAAGGTCTAGATGAAGCTTGCTTTGCGAACGTGCAATACAATACATATAAAGTTGCGAACGTGCTATCAAGATTGCGAGCTCAACATACAAATTTACCTGAATTCTGCATAAACTTGCTCGAACAGTTATTGTCCGGCGGTTGTATATGGAGCGGTTTACACATGCACATGATCTGGAGAAATTCCAACGAAATCAAACCATGGCTTTATCTTCTTACTCCTGCATCGTTCTCGGGCCACCCAGTCATCCAGTTACAGTATAAAGTTCGAGCAAAGTTCGATAGAGCTCAGGCAGCTTTCTATATAGTTTGGGGGTCCTGCTTTTGGCCGAAAAGGGTATGCCAACCGAGCTCATCCAGAAACTGAGACCACCCGCCCAGCTGATGAAACTGAAAAGCATGAAAAGGTGAAAAGTACCGGACAGGTTTTAGGCCTTTTCGCAAGTCTCCCGACTGTCTCCCCAAGTCATCTCGCTTTGACCTTCCTTTCCTCCTGGGGCTTCGCAGGTGCCCTTTCCGACTCATCGGAGGTCTCTGGCACCTGCACCTCCTCCTGAGTGGCCAGCATGCACTTGGCCAAGACGAGCTCCAAGAATTCCCAGGAATCCTGAGGCTAAAAACCAGGAGAAAAGGACTAAGGACTGGGAGAAAAACTCATGCAAACGACTGTTGATGAGTAAAAAGCCCCCCCCCTCCTCCAGAATGGTTTTAGCTTTTCTTACTACTCCAAGAGTCTAATAGAGACGGAGCCTCTCGGCTCTGAACGGACCACACCTCTGACCCCCGGCGGGTCTCCGGGTGCCTCGCAATGCAGTGCCGCGGCCACGGCGAAGAGCGCAGAGCTCGCAGAGCTCGCAGAGCTCGCCTCCAGCGAGATTCGGTCCAACGCACCGAAGACCGGCTCGAACACCCGGGTGAAAAAGGTTTGGGAGTTGGGAAAGACCATCATCTCTACATTATAGATTATATATAATCTGCATGTAAATGTCCATGATGTAGAGATAGGGGGGGCTTATGCAGTCCTCCTATTCATACATTCCTGAGTGGGGGGGAATTATATCTCTACACGGTGCTGTGAGATGGTGGTCCTTCTCTAGATTCTACTAATAGCCTTTGGGACTAGGCTGCGTTAGCTTGCCCTGGAAGGTCCACCGGGCCCTTGGCGCCGGTGGTGCCCATGTGTCGTGCATCACCGATCACCCTCTCCGTGCGCCGATGGTCGCTGGGTTCTCTGAGCCACGGCGTGCCCAACCGCGGCGGCGAAACCGAGACAATCAGAAAAAAAAGAAACTGGGTGGCCTTGGCCATGCAAAGAAAGCCTGGAAGATCTGGGCTCACGAAGGTGCCTGGAAGATCAAAAGCCGAAGTGCTCGGAGGTGTCACGTGAAGTGTCTGAGACCACCGGTGACCACCGGTGACCACGCCCCTGGCTTTGAGTCTACGAAACGACTCTTCCTGGGCGTCTCTGGGTGTCCTATTATTTATTCCAAATACACACCGGGATCGCCTATTTTGGGAGAAGTTCCGTGCCTTTGGGACAGCGACGGTGGGCCAGTCCACTTCAAGAATAAAATTGCCAATCACGGTTTTTCCGGCGAGAATCGCCAATCAAGTGTTGTGATAGAGTAGTGTGACTCCAAATCAATATAGGTATAGATAGATAGATAGATAGATAGATAGACAGATAGATAGATAGATAGATAGAAAAGTAGATCCGTATTGGAAACTGTGTCTATCTATTTGGGGACCACTATACAATCAATCGAAAAGTGAATCCCGTCGAGAAAAAGCGTCTTGATGCTGGAAAATACACCCCATGGATAACCACAAAAATATTTTTCGATTGGGGAGACCACCAATCACCCAAAATTCATAGGAAAACGACCAACCACCACCAACCACCACCAACCACCATACTTTCCTCTTGAAACTGGTGTCCCAAAAGTACTGTAAAAATCATCACCGCTCCAACAGTTTGGCTGACGCTCCGTCTCACTCGGCCCTTGGAACCCCGGGCAGAAATTCTGAAAACAAACCAATACAATTCTGCGATCTTCACCAATCCCTTGATCTGGACAAGATGAAAATATGTGAAAATCCACCCTGATCCGTCGAGAATGGCTCATCTTCCTCTCCTTCACCCAGTCACGGCAGGAGCTACGCTACGCTACGCGACGCACCGCCTGGTACACAAAGCTCTTCCTCTACCGATTTCGAGCTCCTGCGATTCTGCGGCGTTCTTGCGACGTGCGACAGGACCGAAAACTCTGCGGGTCAGTGATGAGTCTTCACTGACCCCTGTGGATCCTGTGGCCTCAGTGAATCAACAATACCAAAAATTCCCCAATTGGAGGGATTTTCGGCACCGCTTCGCCGCGCAGGAACGATTCCGCATGCGCCTCGTTCGTTCTTATCGACCGGTGGGTCCCCGATGGACCGGTGGCACCAGTGGACCAGTAAAAAAATTTTTCATGTCCAGTTTGCACTTGCCTAGGTTATTGAATGCGCGATGCCTAGGCATGTGATTGATCACCGCAGCATTTGCGGCTGCAAAGCCCTGAAGAGTCCCAAGGGGGACGAAAGCTAGGCATTTAATACCTTGCTGCAGTCGTAGAAAAGCTGCGTTGGGCTTGAGCGACCTGTTCTAAAGTTGTCCCTAGGTGCCATGACCCGGGCCCCGGTCGACTGAGGCAATCCTCTACAGTCCTCGACTTTCCCGGTAGGGGCAACAAACCCAGTGGCCTCTCTTCGATCCTCACGTCTGAGAAATCGGGTCGTTCTACCAATGGTAGTACCGTCCTCTGGAGAGAATTGAGCTTCCACAAAGATCCACTCCTTGAAACCAGGGAGGTTCATCTACTTCTCTTCCAACCTGACCAACCACGCAGTGCTCCTGGACAAGATCACTTATCACGCAGTGTTCTTGGACACCCCCAAAAAGTAGATAACGAAGCACCTTACTTAACTATCTTCGGACCATCTAAGGGCCTAACCTGGGCGATGATCTTCGAAGCACCCCACATCCCCTGGTCCGGCGCTCCATCGCATCGCCCGCACCCGCAGCCCTAGATGCGCTGCCAGCGGCCGCAGCTGACGTAGGACGGCGCGCAGGACGGAGGCCGCGGTGTCTTGAGCCTCCGCGGACGGCTACGCTGCTGGGGGGTGCAGGATGGACGACAACAGGTGACAACAGGGGCCCGCAAACCACCTGTTAGGGTCCCAAAACAGCCTGCTGGAGGGGTCCTGGTGATTGGATGATTTATTGAACAACTGATTGATGGAGCGAGTGTTCTTTGATTGCTGACTCGTTTCTTGATTCATTGACTGGCTCATTGTTGATTTCTTTCTTGTTTTTGCTTACTTGTTAAACACTAGGTACACAAGTAGGTACACAGCCAAGCAGACAAATAGGCAGATAATATATCGAAATGTTGACAAAGAAATTGATGGGTTCGTGCAAGATGCCTTCCAGCATCTCTGGAAGCCCATTTGGAGTCTAAGATGTTCTAACAGTGTGGTTTTGCAAAGAATAGATGCTCTTCAACTCTGGATGGAACTGCCGGAAGGATTGGTTCCAATCCAGAGACGGCCCCGGCGAGATTCGGAATCCTTGCTCTTTTCCCCCTTCGTCTAGGCCTTTTTCTAGACGCAATGAATGTGCCCTTCGTGGTGTGAGTGAGACTCATTAGGCTGTAGGTCCGGAAAATCCAGGTGTACTCCAGTGGGCAACCTGATACCAGGTAGGGTTCGCAGACTTCGAGTTCTTCGAAAGGAAGATTGAGAGATTGGGAGAAACAAGAGCGTTCGCACCCCACCTCTCCCAGGTGGTAGCAAACGTGCAAAGAACACAGCCAAGTACAAACTAGGTGGATTCAGAACGCAAGTCATTAAACAGTGTTCCCAAACATGGGATTGGAGGAAAACTGTTAAACTTTGCCCGCCGATTTGGTCAACAAAAAAAAACATGAAGGCATTAAGGCATATGGCATATCCCAAACTCTCCATGTGTGGCAGATTTACCTACATTGGGGTGGTTTCAGGGGTCAATGTAGGCATATACGCCACACATGGAGTGTCTGGGTATGATGGCTCATCAATGAGATAAAGGCCGGATTCCGGATAGAACGAGTCTCAAGTGCTTGGGCCTTTTTGGAAGACGGGTTGTTCATCCACGTGTCTCGGGCCGTGTCTACGAAGCTTTCCTCTCCAAGTGACCAAGTTGATAAAGACCTCCAAGGACAACTTCTCGTCCTTTGCCAAATGCACTGGCAAGCCCCAACGTAGCCTGCAGTCAGCCACCCTAACAGGTGGTCATATTTTGGCCGAGTTGCCAGACCTCTGGTGAATCAACGGGAAACATCCTCAACCCCAAACGGAAGACGAACTCAGCTAGGTTCCTCAGGGTTGGTCGGCTCGCCGCTCGCCGCTCGCCCTTCGTCTGAGCCCAGCCAGGTCCCCACGTCCCATGTCGACCAAGAAGCTCTGCAGCCCGGTCCTCCAAGCTGCTGGCCTGCGGAGGTCTTTTTTTCACGACCAGCGACGGGTCTGGAGTGAGGGTGCTGAGCAGACCAATTGAGACCGCCTTCTGGTACCCAAGCCTCCACAGGAGGCACCTGGAGGGGTGTTGCAACACAGAAGTGGATACTGCTTGGAAGCTGTTTGTAAAACGGGCGTCGAATGGTGTAGAGGAGCTTGATGCAGTCTTCGATTTTGGGGGGGCCATACTATCCGCTAAACCATGGTTGTTTTCGGGTGTGTACTACATGATGCAGATTGATTCTAGGAAAAGAATACCACCAGAGCCACTAGAGTCCTTTCCTAAGACTCTAGGGATTACAACTGGGGGCCATGCACACCACTTGATGCACTGTGTCACTGTGCATTTTCACTCACCTGGATCAGCAGCAGTTGGCGGTTCGGCAGCCGCAGCGTAGGCAGCAGCACGGGTGACCGCCAGGAGCGCTCATCACCTACAGATGCGGGTGGATGTACCATGAATACCTTAAAGTTTGACTGGTTGACTTAGAGTAGAAAAATCTTCAAACTTCAAACCATCAAGTTTCCTTGTCAAGTGTTCTTCATCCTGTCCTTGTTTCGACACCTGGACCCGGACCCATGTGGATCGACTTATTCGGTGCTCGTTGCTGGGGAGTCCTACATTGGATGACCAATCTGGCTTCGGTCTTCCCGAGTTCTTCCACCTCCTCCCCCATGAAAAGCCGAAAACCATCGAAGACCGTAGTCTTGACCCAAATATACATACAGTACATGTGACATGTATTGCACTGGTGCAAAAAACAAGCCGCTTGGTCCTTGGCAAAATGAATTCCACCGCTTCGGACGAATCCAGGTGCTTGGGTCGCATTTTCCTCGCGTCGCAACCAAACGCGATGGGGTCCCAACCCTCAAGATACCACCAGCTTTCGCTTGCAAATACGTGTCTTTTCCCAATTGACGTGCTTGGGACTACTACTACTAATAATAACAATAATAGTAATAATAACAAAAGTAAAAATAACTACTACTACTACTAATAATAATACTACTACTAC